TTGATATATTATGATTAGTTGTTATTAACTACCCCGAAGAAAATAACAACTCATTTCCCTGAAGGATGTAATGACTATGTGGTTGCCGCTTTGATATAAAATATTCATATGTTAATGGCGTTTCTCCCTGAAGGAGACACAAAGTTGGTGGTAAAAATATTGAAATTCTTGATTTCTTACATTTATAAATTTAGAATTGTCTTTATATAGTTTATTTGATTATGATTTTCTCTCATGATACCAGAAGTGTCTAAGCAATATCTGATAGTACAAAATGTATCAACAACTCCTGAAGAGCTAGATGTTTGTCTAGAAGACACATGACACCAGTAGTGTCTGATAAATATTAGATTGTGGATAATAAACGAAAGCTCTCGGAGAGCTTATATACAAATATGCCATTCTTATTATATGATTATGGTCAAAACATATGATGTAGTAAACCCGAAGTTTACTGATACAAATGGCTATCATATTGAGACTACAAATGATTGAAAGATTGAAAATCTTCATGTTTCCACAATCATATGGGGTAAATATGTATGTGAGAAGTTACCCGCCTTATTCTTCAAATTTGTAATACATCATGTATCACAGTATACCAGAAGTTTACTAATGCAAAAGCAGCCACAATAAATCAAAAATTCACTGATACAAAAGTAGCCATAGTAAATCAAAAGTTTACTGATGCAAAAGTTTATGCCATAGTAAACCAGAAGTTTACTTAGAGATAGCACATGCCATGATAAACTTTAAGTTTTTATTTGTCATTTTTAAATGAGCTATTTGAGAATTCAGATAAGCAAATACTGAAGAACTAGAAGATTCTTCAAGAATTCTCTTGTGTTGCTTGTTCTCATAATAACTTGATTATACCAACTAAAGTTGGGACTAAAATTCCCGAATTCTGAAATATATAAAAGGTGAATATGAGCCCATTCACCTATCATGTGAACCACTTATAGATGCATATATAAGATGGTTACATGTATGTTTATTGTCAACTTGCAGTTTGACATTTGAAATTGTCTTTCTCAATTAAGAGCATAATTTTCAGATTATGAAATCAAGATAATTCATCTTGATGATGCTGGTTTATATCCAAGCAAGTTTAGCATTGAATACCTCCTATTAATGGCTAAACTATTGCTTATGAGAACAAAGCCTCATGTGTTGGTCTAAGATTTTCTAAATTGCATACAGCAGCACTTGTATGCATCAGACCAACAAAATATGATAAATCCTCCCCTCATAATTGGTTTAGGATCAAAAACCAAATATTTTTACTATCTAATAAATTTTGATGTGTGGTATATGATTAATTTCTCCACCACAATGCACAAAGATATCTTTTCCAAATAAGATTGGGGATATAAGTTAGTTTTTCTAACATTTGGNCGCATTTGCTAATCCAAAATTAAATATCATATTTCAGCTGCAAATGCTCATATTAAAATTAAATTCCCTGAAGGATAGAGTTTACTGTACGCATGAAGCGTGGTAGACCAATTGGTTCCAAAGGTAACAATCCTTGAAAAGAATAGGAGCAAATGATCAAAATGATCATAATAAGGAGGAAATAAGCTCTGAAAGAGCCCACGACATAACATTTCACGAAACTCCAGAAGAAGTTCATGCACCTAAAAATAAAGAAAGTGATGAGATCTCAACAATTTATGTCGCCTGCGAACTGATACGAAATGATCGTCGATGATATATTTGATACAATATAGTGCACAATATTATAAACGATTGTGAGGATCGGACCTGTAGTCCAGACACCTGAAGATGTCATGCCATTTAAATATGACTCATTCGATTAATTCTATATGAAGATCCCTGAAGGATTTAAAATGCCTGAAGCAAATTCAAAATTTCGGGAAATATATTCAATCAGATTACAAAGATCTTTGTACGGTTTAAAGCAATCTGGGCGCATGTGATATAATCGCCTTAGTGAATATTTGTTGAAATAAGATTACATAAATGATGTTATTTGTCCATATATTTTTATAAAGAAAATGGCATCAAAATTTGTTATATTTGCTGTTTATATTGGTGACATAAATCTTGTTGGAACTCCAGAAGAGCTCCAAAAGGCAATTGAATATATTAAGAAAGAATTTGAAATGAAAGATCTTGAAAAGACAAAACTTTGTCTTGGTCTGCAAATTCAACATTTAGCAGACATGACCTTTATCCATCAATCTACCTATACATAAAGGGTCTTAAAACGCTTTTACATGGATAAAGCGCACCCATTGAGTACACCAATAATTGTTCGATCACTTGAAGTGAATAAGGATCCGTTCCGACCTCCAGAAGAGGATGAGGAACTCATTGGTCCAGAAACACCCTATCTTAGTGCAATTGGTGCACTTATGTATCTTGCTAATGCTACAAGGCTTGACATAGCATTTTCTGTTAATTTACTAGCAAGATATAACTCTTCTCCTACATGGAGACATTGGAATGAGATTAAGCATATATTGCGATATTTAAAGAGAACTCTTGATATGAGTTTGTTTTATGCTAACAAAAGTAGTGCAAATCTTGTTGGTTATGCAGATGCAGTTATTTATCCGATCCCCATAAAGTTCGATCTCAAATCGGGTATGTGTTTACATGTGGAGGTATTGTCATATCACGACGCTTCACAAAGCAATCTATTACTGCTACTTCTTCAAATCATGCTGAGATAATAGTTATTCATGAAGCAAGTAGGGAATGCATATGGTTGAGATCAATGATTCATTTTATTCGAGAAAAATGTGGGTTGGAATGTGATAAAAGACCCATAATTTTATACGAAGACAATGCTGCATGCATAGGCCAATTGAAGGGAGGATTTATAAAAGGAGATAGAACGAAGCACATTTCACCAAAATTATTTTACACACACGATCTTCAGAAAATAATGATATTGATGTGCAACAAATCCGTTCAAGTGACAATCCGACAGATTTATTCACTAAATCTTTACCAACTTCAACTTTTGAGAAGATGGTATACAAGATTGGAATGCAGAAACTTAAATATTTGAAACAAGGTTTTCATCAGGGGGAGTAAAATACACGATGTACTCTTTTTTCCTTACTAAGGTTTTTTCCCACAGAGTTTTCCTTATAAGGTTTTTAATGAGGCAGCTAGCAATGTGTAATACTAAATATGTGTATTCATTTTTCTTGACTAGGATTTTTTCCCACAGGATTTTTTTCTAGTAAGGTTTTAATGAGGCACATTATCTTTTAATGAACATCCAAGGGGGAGTGTTACGAAAATAATTATATTGTGGATGTTTATTTATTACTCCGCTATAGATAATCTTCCTGAAGAAGATTATCCATTTAGTACTCTGTTGAAATTTATCTACAAGCAGCTGATGCAAGCAGGTTGCAAGCAGCTCAATGAAATGATTTGCAGCAGCTTTTTATTAAACATGCATGTTACAAGCAGCTAAAGAAAAGCCTTGCAGCTGCTTCCTGAAAAGCCTCGCAGCTGCTTCCTTTCTTCTATAAATAGAGAAGTTTTCAGTTCATTATGTACATGAATTTGAAGTTGAATAATATATCAGTTTCTCTCTATACTTGTTTTCAGTTTATCTACTTTATAGTATTTATTTTATAACACATTGAACCATAATTTTATATTTTGACCTTAATTTATAACTCCTATAGTTAAATTGTTTAATTTGATATAAACATAAAGTGTTAACAAATATTATAATTCCTCACTTCAAGATAGCAACGAAAACGTCAAATTTGCCTCCCTTGTTATGAATTACGTACGGACTATGGTTTTGGACGATTCGTTCTATTTGAGTAAAATTTTAACTTGAGTTAGTTACATAAGTATTTGGACATGATTTGGTTAGTAGTTTGAGAAAAGGAATGACAAGTTACAAATTTGGTATGTCAGCCAAAAACAATTATATTTGTTAGCCAAATATACTAGCGCGGCTGTAAAAATCACTTAATAACCTGTTTGGCCAAGTTTCTAAAATTTGCTTATTTTGAGAAATGCTCTTTTTAAAAGTGCTTTTCAAAAAAGTTTTGGTTATTTAATTTGAAAAGCACTTTTGGGTAATAATTAGTATTTTGCCAAGCTTTTAAAAATTGCTTCTAATAGCCTGTTTGACCAAGCTTCTCCAAAGGCCAAAAGTGCTTTTTTTTTCTTCCCAGAAGCACTTTTTTTTTCTTAACTAGTCAAGGTGTTTGATTAAGTTTTTTTTGCAGAAAAAGTACTTTTGGAAAGAAGCAGAAGCACAAAAAAAAATAGTTTCTTCCCAAAAGTAGAAGCAGAATCAGTTTTGACTTTTTTTCTTACCAAAAATATCCTTAACAAAATATAGTATATACCAAAAAATCGTTAAATCTAATACTTAGGATATTAATGTATAAGTATTTCTTCTTATTTTTAGGATAGTTTTCTAATATATAGTCACTTTAGAAGTGAATACTTTTTATATTTGTTGAATGATTTTTAATATATTTGAATAATATTAAAAGAATTAAAGTACTTTTTAATTTTATTTTTATATTTTACTTAAATAAAATGAAAAGATTTAATTATTGCATGTAATAACAAAATTTGAGATTATTTATTTACTTATAATATTAACTATTAACTAAATATATTCATGTCCTTATTCGTAATTGATACTTAAAAACACTTTTTGAAAAGCTTGGTCAGACATAAATTATTGTTTAAAAGTATTTTTCAGAGTAATTAGCCAAACGTAAATTATTTTTCTCAAAAAGTATTTTTTTTAAAAAACACTTTTGAAAAAAGTACTTCTCAAAATAAACTTATTTTTCTAGTTTGGCCAAACAGGCTATGCGTGTATTTTTCTGAAAAGTATTTTTTAAAAAAGTGCTTGTGGAGAGGGGTTGATAAGCTATTTTTTCCTGATTCTGCTCAAAAATATGTTTTTTTCTTTAAAAAAAATTGGCTAAACAGCTTTAACTTTGAGAAAATAAGCACTTTTGGGCAAGAAAAAAGTATACTCAGTTCAGGCATATTGACTTAAATTTCAGACCATTGTTAGGACAGTAATAGTTGCTCAAGCTTCCAAATCCCCCCATTTTCTTCATTTGTATCAATGTCAATGTACACTCAAGCAATCAATCTTAACACTTTCACTTATCAATCTCGAATCCCAATACAAATTCCAACTCTCAATGTCAGCTCCTCCTCAACTCGTCTCCCTACTTCGCGGGTTACATTATCTTCTCAAATCTGCACTTTTCGCAAGCTAATAATCACTTCTTGCTCAATTCCCAGCCAAGAAATTACTGATGTAGAAAGCTCAGATTCAGTTTTATCTATCAAAGAAGTAGGAAATGAACAAGTGGAAAAAATTCAAGTGGTGAAGTCTAGTGGACGAGAATTTTCTGCGAATGAAAGTATTTGGACTCAAATGGTGGAAATTGCTAAGTTTTCAGGGCCAGCAGTTGGGCTCTGGTTATGTGGGCCATTAATGAGTCTTATTGATACTGCTGTTGTTGGTCAAGGAAGTTCCATTGAACTCGCTGCTCTAGGTACAACTCACAAATCTTACTCTTATATACATCTCAATCTTAAACTAGTTGATTTTTACTATATTTTGTTTATTCAGACCAATTAATATTTGAGAAAATATACTGCATAGCCGTTCTCAAAATAATAGTCGAAAAATTATATATATATATATATTTTCGGCTACCGAATGTAAATAGTTTTTGGCGCGGGCTAAAAGTGATAATACTCCTTAATATTTAGAGTATTTATCATATTAGAGCCCGTGGTTAGCTAACTGAAAGTAGCTGATAAGTAATTAAGTACTGAAAAGCAGGGGCAGAGCTAGAAGCCCGGTTACGGGTTCGTTAGAGCCCAGTAGCTTTTGCTCAAACAGTATATTTATGTTAAGAAATTCATTAAATACGAACAAATATTAAATTTAGAACCCAATTGTTAGTATATGACGTCGTCGTTCCAAAATCCAAAACTCATAAAGCTGAAATCCTTGCTCCGCCTATGCTGAAAAGTATTTTAAGTTTTGAAGCTGACCTTATGGCTATTTTTATGTGGATCTCAACCTAGTGCATAAGGTCAGTTTCAAAACATAAAATGCTTTATTGTACTTAATGCTTATTAGCTAATTTCAGAATTTTATGTGCATCTCGACCTACTACATTTTTTCTTTAAGCTCATAAGGAAAAATTGTTGTTGTTGTTGTATATTCATTTCCGAATTCTTTCTTCTTTAAGCTCATATAGGAAAAATTGTTGTTGTTTTTATTTGGCAGGTCCCGGAACCGTTTTCTGTGATAACATAAGCTATATTTTTATGTTCCTTACAATTGCCACTTCAAATTTAGTTGCTACTTCACTTGCACAGCAGGTAAGTTTTTGGGAACTGCTGTTTTACTGCTATGACTTTGATCTTTTCAATTTTGACGTGTTTGGGCATTGTTGTAGCTAGTGGCATCTTATAGATTTAGAATAGTAGGTTCTAGGTGATATATATGAATATTTTTAACATGTACAGTTTTTTCTTAAAAATAAAAAAAATTCATTTGTATGTCGCTCGAGGCGGAGGCAACAGGGGTGTTTGAGCCCATTGTTCATAGCAGGGGTTAACCTGTTAATAACTAGTAGTTTCAGAGTTCGTCTGCTTGCGATTTCGACCAGGGGCCAATGCAGTGTATAAGATATCATCAGAACCCAGTAGCTTTGGCTCAAACTCGATATATGTCTTAAAAATCCATTAAATAAGTATGAATAATAGATTTTGAACCCAGTAAATCAAATAGACTGTGATAGAACTTCAAACTTGAACCCATAACGTTCAAATCTTGGATCTGCCTCTGACTCCGACCATGTATGTTTTAATGTGATTAGTATGTATTAAGAGAACTGAACCTACTACTTCAAGAGAGCAGTGGGTGCAAGCATTTGCTCCTCAAGCCAGTTAAAATTCCGAACCTACTGAGTCTTAGTCTACAACCTGGATATGCCCCTAGTTGATAGCCTAAATCCGCCATTTGTTGTAATCTTATAAACGTCTAAATCAAGAAAACCATCAACTTATAGTAATTCTACTGATTTCCTTCTCATATTCTGATTCATCAACTTGGGTTCTGGTGCAGGACAAAGAGAAAGTGCAGCATCAGATATCTATCTTGCTTTTTATTGGGCTTGTCTGTGGTGTTGTGATGTTTATTTTTACGAGGTTGTTTGGTATTCAGGCAATCACTTGTAAGCAATTTTTTATTCCTACTTTACTGGTGGATGTATCAAGTGTGCTATTGATATTCCCCCAATAACACTAATGGTTTATTTTTCTGAATCGTAGCTTTCACTGGGGCCAATAATGTCGATATCATAAACTCAGCCAACACTTATGTCCAGGTTATTCTCCTATTAATAATTTGCTTGTTCTGAAGATCTTTTTAGCTTTAATTTTTTTTCCTTTTTAGCATCATTTTATTAATCGAGTATTGCCAATGCATTTTCCACTTTCTGGTTGGTGAAGACATTAAATCGATTGTTAAGTTGCTAGATAGACTGATAGAGACAGTCATTTGCTAAACATTGTCAATTTATCTGCTAAGGCAGGCAAATAAGCTTTAGCGCTGAAATGTAGTATCATATTCTATTATGATCAAGTTATATTGTTGCTATGCATGGTGCATTTAAGCTTCACTTCAACTGAATGGTAGATATTATGGTGACAGATTCGAGGCTTGGCGTGGCCAGCACTGCTGGTTGGTTGGGTTGCCCAAAGTGCAAGGTACTATTTACCTATTCTTTAGTATTTTGTATGTGTGGTTTTCTATTACATTTTGTTCTTTTGTATTTGAAGCTTTGTTTTGATAATTATACTAACATAAGCCCCAGGTTTGATTCTTTATCACTTTATGATTCTATGTAAGCTTAGTCCGATCATAATTTATTAAGTTTCTCCGTTTGTACTCTACGTTGTGTTGCATATGTCAAGCACTCTTCTCTTTCTTTCTTTTTTTCTTTTTTTCCTTTTGTGATAAGTGCACTTCTCTTCTCTTTCTTCTTGCCATATTTCATATTTCTATTGAGTTGTATATACTGGGGAATGAGCTGGGCTTGAAGACAGCGACCATGAATTTCTGCTTAAAAAGGAGATCTATAACACGCATGAATAGCCACCAGCTCCACTTACTTGCAGCCTTATATTTTGCACATGAATCAAACCAGCAAGGATGAGTATGATAGAGCTGGAGTTTTGATCTTTGTCATTTCAAAGCCAATCGAGACTCTTGCTTTCACTTACACGTAAACAATGTAAAGGTCGTTGACAGATCTGGGAGACATCAATCTATATTCTGTTCCAGCTAGAAGAGTGATCCTTCTTTTCCCAGTAATATGATATATACATTGCTCGTCTCGAATGACTGATGGTAAGTTATTTGTTAGGACACTTCTGAGGTGAAGATAGTTTATACTTTTCTGACAGTATACTGTGCTCAGATGCGTGCGTTACTTGGTCACGCTATTCACCTTGTGATATATGTTTCTTGCTCTTAAATGCGCAGTTTAGGCATGAAAGATTCATGGGGACCTTTAAAGGCTTTGGCCGTTGCTACTGTTATTAATGGTACTGGCGACATAGTCTTGTGCCGATTCTTCAGTTATGGTATTGCTGGAGCAGCATGGGCAACAATGGTATCCCAAGTACGACCACTCATTCCTACCAATTCCTTCATTTAATCCCTAAACATATTTGGATGTGTTCTTCAACACTCTATCTCTTCTATCTCCATTTTCATACATCTCAAAACCTTCCTAGCTTGGTAATCTATTTCTAGGTCGTTGCAGCTTATATGATGATCAAAGCACTGAGCGATAAAGGCTATAAGGGCTTTGCTATCTCTGTTCCATCATCAGATGAACTTCTGCAAATATTCTTGATTGCCGGCCCCGTGTTTCTAACAATGATGTCAAAGGTTTGTGTGAATTGACCTCATTCTCACTCGGTGCCGAAATCTTGTATTCTGTGGACATTTGACATTATGCTGAACGACAGGTTGCATTCTACTCTCTACTTGTCTATTTTGCTACCTCAATGGGCACACAGACAATTGCTGCGCATCAGGTATGTTTTATTCTTATATGTACCTTATTTCCTCATCTTCATAAAATAGCGACATAGATATGACCATTAACATGTTGCCTTTTTATTTAGGTCATGATACAACTGTTCATGATCTGTGCAGTATGGGGTGAGCCTCTCTCTCAAACAGCACAATCGTTTATGCCCGAATTGCTATATGGAGTCAACCGAAATTTGTCAAAGGTTATAATCTTATTCATATAAAAATCACAACATCCTGTGCCAAAGCAGCTTTTGGTATCCATCTCTGTAAATTTTGGCTATGGTACCACATGCATGAAAGTTGCTAGGCTATCATGATTCATTGCAGAAAACTCTTTGAGCACAGAGTTCTCTCGTCATTCCTTATTACAATGCTCTAAAAGATGAATATTTTAAATCAGGCTCGAATGCTGCTGAAGTCCCTAGTGATCGTTGGAGCATCATTCGGACTGATACTGGCATCTGTTGCAGCATCAGTTCCATGGTTATTCCCCAAAATCTTTTCACCTGATCCTGAGGTCATACGTGAGGTTAGTTCTGTAATATCCTTATTGGACTCCTTTTTTCTTCACATAATTCAAAAATATGTGATTGTGTGGTTCCCCTGATTATTTCTCTCTTTTCTATGGTTGCAGATGCATAAAATATTGCTGCCATACTTTCTAGCCCTATGTGTAACACCCAGCATTCTTAGTCTAGAGGGAACTCTGTTGGTATGTATTCATACTTTCTGTCAACTTTCTTTACTCTTTATTTAGTTATCTTAGGCATGTTAATTAATCAACAGACAGTTTTTTCTGTTCATTTTGTCACATCTCTATTCTGTGCTTGTGAGAAAATGCCGCATTTCAAGTTTATCAAGGGTAAAGATTATCTTCTTTCACAGGCAGAACTAGGATTTAAGTTGATGGGACAAGATGTATCTTTCATTCTTTGTGAGGGTCTGTCTCATGTATTTTTACGAAATCATAATGAATACTTAACACATTTTTCACGAGAAAGCTATGTAATGAGCAAGACATATTAAAAGAATTTAATTCCCTTCATTGAAACAGAGGGGAAAAAAAATAAAATGATAAAGTAATAACTAGAATGCTCTATATAAATTCTTTTCCTAAAGTTCCTTTTGTATGTAGTAATTTATGTTTCTTTACCTGGAAAAGGAGTAGCAGCATTCTCTATGGTTTTTCTTCCAAATAGCATTTGATCATTTATTAAACATCTATTTCTGGTCAATTTTCTAACTTCAGCAACTTTACTTTCGGTTAGGAGGATTAATGGGGGAGGAGGTCTAATTACAGAAAACTCCTGCCTCTACTTCCATCTTCCCTAAACCGTTGAGATCTTTTATCATTTCCTGCTTGTAATTGTTCTGTTATAATTCGAGCACATGCATCATTTCTCCTTTTGATGTTCTTATTTTTGGTACTGTATTATGTTTTGAGAAGCCTTTATCTCAACATCATGATTTATTTATATGCATTCAGGCTGGACGAGACTTGAAATTCATAAGCTTATCAATGAGCTCCATATTTGTTTTGGCTTCTCTTCTCCTAATGGTATGCCATTCCATTTGCTTCAAAGTATCAATACCTCACGGTATTTTGGCAAATCAAGTTCTTTATCCCTTGTGCTTGCATTAGACCTTGATAACTCGAATCTAATCTCTTTCCTTTAGCCCCTTTCCATTCATTCAATCCAATGTAAAGTGAAACTATACTAAAGCAAAGATATGCACTAACAATGTAAAAATATTTGCACAATCACGTCACTTATTAGGTAATGTAATTACAGGTAAATCCTTATGATAAGCTACAGACTTGCTATAACAGGTTAAACTACACTGATCATGTAGAAAATCTTTATATTCTAAGTGCATATAACTTAAATTCTTCATGATATTATCATTTGTTTTAACATTTCCACTTACTATTTCTTTGAATCAGCTGCTGAGCAGTAAAGGACTTGGTTTGTCTGGATGCTGGTTTGCGCTTGTTGTATTCCAATGGGTAAAAATTCTATCAACAATTTACAAGCTTTTATACATTCTTTTTCTTTGTTAAATTGTCTGATGCCACAACACTCTATTTCTTTCCTCTGTTTTGTTCTTTTTTTTCTCCTCAGTCTCGATTTTTGATTGCTCTACGACGGCTTACCTTGTCGGATGGCATACTCTATTCAGAAGAGTCAACTCATTATGAGCTACACAAATTGAAAGCTGTATAGGTTTCTGATTTTCTTACAAAAAAAAAATTGTTACTACAACAGAAAAAGTGGAGATGGGATCCAAGTCTTCCCATAGGTAATGTATCTACCATTTGTTTCAACCAAACCAGGAATTTGCTATCCACTAAGTGGCAATATCAGCAAACTTCTTTCCCTTTTGTTTTCTGAAACCCAAAAAATGAACTGAATCCAGCAGATTTTGGAAAGATGTCAATAATAAAGCCTGAAGGATAAAGTTTCCATTGTAAAATAAAATTCAAAGAGCATAAATCAGCCACTTTATAGCACAATTTTGGAAAGAAATGAAAGCATAAAAGATCAGTAAATCATCCAATTAATTGACAAGAAAACTACCATACGATCAGGAGATGCAAAGAGGCTATCCCACCCGGTGTCCGGTACCCGCATTGGAGGCCGACTATATCTGAATTCGCGCCGCGTAAGGCCCATTTAAGGGGGAACCGCTCCCTAACAAGATTCTTTCCATACTTAGGGCTCGAACCCGAGATCTCTGGTTAAGGGCGGAGGGATCCTATCCATCCCACCACAACCCATGTTGGTCATCTCTCCTTAAACTTTTCACTTAATTAACGCAACACTAATTGGAACAATAAGGGTAGATATGAAAAAAATACAAAATAACTTCTTTTTTTTATTATCTAAAACGTCAAATATTATCAAACAAATTCAGTTTGTTGAAATAACTATATCCGAAAAGATTATTGAAGTTTACATTTCCCCTGCCCGACTTGCGCATAATATACCTTGCCACTCAACTACTCAAGAACAATGTATCTATCATTGACCCTGTCACAAGTCACAACCAATAGGAGAACATAATTGGCTCATAAATTTCGCTATTTTGATTTTTGAGGTAGAGCTAAATGCTACTAATATTGGCTCATAAATTTCGCTATTTTGATTTTTGAGGTAGAGCTAAATGCTACTAATATTGGCTCATAAATTTCGCTATTTTGATTTTTGAGGTAGAGCTAAATGCTACTAATATTGGCTCATAAATTTCGCTATTTTGATTTTTGAGGTAGAGCTAAATGCTACTAATATTGGCTCATAAATTTCGCTATTTTGATTTTTGAGGTAGAGCTAAATGCTACTAATATTGGCTCATAAATTTCGCTATTTTGATTTTTGAGGTAGAGCTAAATGCTACTAATATTGGCTCATAAATTTCGCTATTTTGATTTTTGAGGTAGAGCTAAATGCTACTAATATTGGCTCATAAATTTCGCTATTTTGATTTTTGAGGTAGAGCTAAATGCTACTAATATTGGCTCATAAATTTCGCTATTTTGATTTTTGAGGTAGAGCTAAATGCTACTAATAAAATTCCGTTTTAACGACTCTAAAGTTGTTTGGTGAACAATGATATCAAACTCCAAATAGAAAATTTCATGCATGTGATAAGTTAGCAAGCTTTACCAGAATGTACCAAACAGGTAGGGTAGCTGGAAGGAAATTAAACATACAAAATCGAGCTACTAATACTTGTCGTAATAAGTCTAATTTAATTGTTTAGCCAATCTTATCTTTAATGCACTTTAAAAAGCCTAATATGAGATTTAGGACTTACTTTTTGTATAACCATAGTGTCCAGGCAAGCTTGATCTTATCTCGACTAATTCCGTAGGTACCTGTTATCTCTCACCAGCAACATTATCGAATAATCTTGTTCATCAAAATTTAAATAGATAAAAAGAAATCACTTAGCATTTTTTTTTCGCTCCGTAGATATCTGAACCTTTATGGTTCTTATAGCCTGTTCGGCCAATCTTCTTTCGGGCCAAAAGTAATTTTTTTTCAAAGCTAAAGTATTTGGCCAGACTTCTATAAGGAAAAAAAGTGTTTTTGAATAAAAAAACATAAGTAGTTTTTAAGAACCGAAAAAAGTAGTAATTTTTTTCCCAAAAGCACTTTTTCGAAATGCATTTTTTTTAGAAAAATACACTTGGAAATACTTTTTAAAAGTTTGGTCAAATACTAATTATTGCTTAAAAGTGCTTTTCAAATTAGTTATCCAAAAAACATATACTGTATCTTACCAAAAATACTATTTTGAAAAGTAAGTTTTGAAAAAAAATACTTCAACATAAGCTAATTTTAGAAACAACTATTAATCCACTTCTTTGACCTTATCTTGTGGGCGTGTTTGTGTCACACATGGCTCCCTCAGGACCAGAGATCGATCAGATATTATACTATGGGAAGTTGCCCCAATAAAAATTGCAACAACATACATTATCAATGAAAATTTTCAAATATATGACCATTTGGCATAAGATTAAGATGGGAAGTGAACAGTACGGTACTACTGACATGTAACCACTGCAATGATGGCTTTTGCAAGAATCATATGAAAATGGAAATTGGTAAGTATATGAGATTTGACGAGTCATGAATTTAAGGTTGCATGTGAACCACACTTGAAAGAAAGAACTAAGTGTTAAGTACCACCTCACTATACATATATTATAACCTTCCAAATCATAAATTTGCTTTAATTTGAAGGACCACATGTTAGGAGAAGAAAAAGAGAACCATGCATGTGCTATCAAACTCTTGAGACAGTCAATGATAGAAGCTCACTATATAAAAGGACCTTAATTTGGTGATTGTTTTATGGTCTAAATTTTGATGGGGAGAGTTACCTAGTAAGAGATGATAAAAGTGATAAAATAATCGAGATCAAGGGCGAAATTAGAAGGTTACATATCGAGTTGGCGGAATCAATAGATTTAATAGTCTAAACTATATATTAATATTAAGGAACTCACTAAATATGTACGGAAATTAAATTTAGAACTCAATACTAACACGTAATGTTATTATCCTAAAATTTAGAATACATAAAATTTAAATTTTGGCTCCCTAATCGAGCTGCATGCAAACTGAGACGTGAATTCTACTATTATAAAAAATAAAAAAAGAAAAAAGACAGAGAGAGAGTATTTCAGCAAATCAATTCTTGGCTTCTACTCCTTCACATTGACACCGGCGGAGGTAGTCTTTTGACTACGTGTTTAATTGAATTTATAACTTTTGATACGGGGTATGGATTTATATGTAAAAACCTACTAAAATATCAACAAGACTTAAATTAAATTCATAATTTTAACAATAGAATTAATTTAATACTAAAAGATTTAAAAAGCGAATTCATTAAATAAATTTAAATAGTAGGTCAGTCTCTCTGCTTGGAACATAAGTCTCGGAGAGATTCCCTTCTTTTCTTATACCCACTCGATCCCTCAAATTTTTAGGTGTGGTGGGAGTTTGATTTAATCAAGAAGATATACTATACCCAATTCTTTTTCCCCCCGTCATTCTATGGACATGATTTCTTGATATAGTATATTTTAATGCATCCTTTTAGGCTCTAGCTATATATTTAGTTGAGACTTTCCCGTCTTGAATGCCTTGTCGAGTGTTTAACTCAAACTTACGCCTCCTTTTATCCCAATTCTTAATTCTTTGATTATCTTGTTTTGTTTAATGGCCGAGTTGGACGGTGCAGAGAAAGGTTACATTGTCACTCTTTAGGGTAGGAAGACAAGGACGTTTCCTCTATTTTCCTTCTGTGAATTTATATTTAGAAGGATATAAATTTGAAGTTTTACTTCACATCTGAAATTGATATATATTTATTTAATGTATATTTTTAAAACGGTATATATATTATTTGCTATATTATTACACGCACATATATAAAAAAATCTTTTGCGAATGAGTTTCAGTTGACACTCTTTCTAAATGGTATTTTCCCCCGCTAGTTCCAATTGAGCAAGATTTGAACTTTGCCTATATCATAGGCAGATTCATAATTTAAACCGGTTAAGTGCAGAGTATAGCTGCATTCATTACTATATCTTTTGGGTTGTGACGATGAGTGGAAAATTTAAGGATGAAACATGTCTTGTTTTTTTGGGATTCTCTAAAACTAAAAAGGTACATCCCGGTGTACAAAATATTCCCATTAATTCACATAGGATTCGAAAAAAGGTCACATTCCAAGGGTGTGAGGTAGACAACTTATCTAAATGCAAGCATTACTAGCTGCTTCCATGCAGATGCGGAACTATATATAATATGAACAAGCGTATACCTTGAAAATAATTAATTTAAATAACTCGACACCCTGAACACTAAAAGCCTTTAGAAGACACAGATTGAGTAAAATATTGGTTCCCCCCTTTTGTTAAAATTTTAGGTCTGCCTCTGCTTCCATCGCTCGAACCCGTGACATATAGGTCACACGAAAATAACTTTACTTTTTATCCAAAGATCCCTTTCTTGGGTTGTCTAAAACTCTGCTGTGATCTTACAACTAAAAAATAGAAATTAGTGACCAACAAATTTTGTAGCTAAATAATATTTTTTATCGCTAATTTTATTTAGCGACAGATTATCGATAGATTATAAAAAAAGTAATTATTAGCTACGAACGATTTAGCGATGGGGTTCGTAAGTAATTCTTTTTTTTTTTTTTTGTAGTGGATATACTAGTACTATATATCTCACTTATCACTACCAAACTATTTCAAGATAAATATCTGCCAAATAAAAACACATGCGCGGAATTAGTATATCATCTTCGGTAGCACCAATGCGTCGCGTGATGATTATATCATCAGTACCCACTAATTAGCCCTTAATAATTGGTGCAAGTTAACCACATGCTTTCGTTTAGACTTAAATTAAACGCTTTAGAATGCTAATGAGGTGGTTTATCAAACTTTTGCGAATTTTACCTGCTTTTTAAGATTAGAATATTAAGGGCTGGAGTTTGAAATTTTAACGGATCGCATTTGAAATCTATAATATGTACTTATTTACTTAATTTTTAACACATATACCCAAAATAATCGGTGCGGATGAACTATGGGTGTCAAGGGGCCCGGCCGGGTTATTGGAAAAGGAGACCGGCCTGTCTTCGTACCGGACCGGTTAACGGTTTCAAAATACCGGTTTTACCGGTTCCGTGCCTGGTCGGTGAAAATTTGAACCGGAACGATTTCGAGCCAGGCCATTTTTTTTTTTGGGGTGTGTGTGTTATTTTGTATAACTATCGTAATTTATATTAAGATAAAGTAAAAATACAAAACATAAAAACAATCTTATAAAAAGAGTGTTTGAATAAATT